AAAAAATTCCTTAGCAACGTGAAAAAGATTCCTTAGCAACGTGAAAAAAATTCCTTAGCAACATTTAAAAAATTCCTTGGCAACGTGAAAAAATTCCTTAGCAACGTGAAAAAAATTCCTTAGCAACGTAAAAAAATTCCTTAGCAACATTTAAAAAATTCCTTGGCAACGTGAAAAAATTCCTTAGCATCCTTCAAGAAATACCTTAACAACCGTGAAAAAAATTAACAGACAAAGCAAATACTGTTATAGCCATATTGTTTTATTATTTGTGGTCTTATTTACTCCATAATAATTTTTATTTTTATTCATTATAGTTAAGTTGTGTTCGCAGAGTTGAGAGAAGGGGTTGTTACAAATTATTTATAACAAAAGCTAAACGACGGTCGCTTCACAAAAAAAATCCCTATCCGAAAATTAAATTAAATCGTAGAAAATCAAATTAAATCGTAGCAAAAATATGGGTAGAAAGCAGGGGGTACTACAAATAGTACACCTCCTCCAACTCCTTTCCTGGAGGAAGTGTACCCAAAATCGACGCCACATTCCCTCGTTGTGCAGCGAGAGAAACTCTTTGGCAGAGAAAATTGTGGAGAAATACTCCATAATCATAATTGTCATGGAGTCTACCACAGTTCACAGTCCGTGAGTTTTACCCTAGCATAATTCAATAATTTTGATACATAAGTCTCCAATTTAAAATGCGGCCCGTCTTCAAGACGGGCTTATAGGCTAGTATTGAATAATGTCGCTGATAAGCAATATAATACCAATTTATTAATTGGATTGATACTTTTAGCATAAGATAAGCCCAGATTTTCAATTTGGGCTCGATCCGAGTCCGTATAGTCAATTTAGTTCTTATCAAAATCGCTAATAACCTCGCAGATAAGCATAAAAATGACTATTTCTCAATGGACTTTTTACCTTTAGCATAAGATAAGCCTGAGTTTTTAATATGGGCTCGATCCGAGCTCATATACTTTAGTGGACGTGCCTTACCATTTTTACACGCAATCATTAGAAGTATACATACAGTTTAAAAAGTGCAATTATCGATAATTGTTGCTTTATCCACTATTCCATTTACGTATAGAAATCATATACTTGAGTATCCTAAAACGTTTAATGGTCAGAAACATATTAAGAGCACTGAGATTTATAATGACATTAGCATTAGTAAACTTGACCATCTCGAGAACAAAAATAACCGACGCTACAAAAAATCCGGTCAGAGGAACAATAAAAGCTACCAACATTCTCGAATCATAGCCCAAATCAGCCGGTTTAAAGCCCCCATTTTCCCACGGCTTTTCCTCAATTTGAAAATTTGTGCTCTGCTAGATATGAATCTTGATTAGCAATCTCCAAATTCCGGACTCAAAGAACTTTGTCGAAGTTCGATGGAATGAATTTGCCATGTGATGGACGAACATGACGCCATATTTGACATGACCTTCAATCGCGTAGAATGGCTCGGTGACAATGTGGCATTTCACAGCTGCCTTGGACTTCCACACGGATTGTCGGCACTTCTCTAACGAATAGCTTAAATAATTTTCCTCCCAATATGCCGCCAAAGCGCCGGAATTTTCCACGATTTTGTCGAACATCGTGTCATCAAAAGCCATGGGGGTAAAGGATGTATTTCTTAGGTGGCGAATTCCTCTAAAATTGTTTCCAAACCATATCGTGGGTTCCCTGATAGGAATGTACTTTGAAAATCCGATTTTATATCCGGTCAAAAGCAGTTCTCGGACTGATTGTATCACATAGTCGGGAAGTGGTAGGAGTGAATCGGACGTTAATTAGCAACAGTATTGTTGGCTTAGGCACGCCGACATGGCCAGGGTCCAGAGGAGGAGTAATAGTCTTTGTGGATTGGTATGGGATTCTGCAAAGTTATTCAGCTTTCCGCTAAAGGGTTGGTTAACGGTGATGCCTATGAGCCCGATTGTGTCAATGGGGCGAACGACAACGATAATTCCTGTCGTCGTTATGACAAAGAAAAACCAGACCTGGAAAATATAAATGTAGTAAAGTATAAGAACATTAACCTTTTAAGGACGAAGTTGACATAATTGTGTAGTATTCTACTTTCCCTTGGGGACGAAATACATAGATATGTGAAATTTAAAATTTACCATTGATAACCAAAATAGATGGCAAAAATTGAAAAATGGATCAATTCCAGTGCAAAATGTGGAAAAATTTGTGGTGGAAAGTGGAATTTTTCAATCTAAATTTTGAACTTGTCCTATATCAACCCCATGCACAAAAGTGGAATTTTCGAGTTATTGGATTTTTTGTCAATTTTGAGATTTACAATTCTAAAATAAATCAGTCGCTAACAGTGTTTCACGTGTTTTTACTTGGTATCGATGAGGTTAGCAGAATTTTATACTCAACTCACCCAAAGTTGAAACGGATTTGAAAGAGTGTGTAATTCCTGTCGAAGCTAGCTTTCCATCAACACAATAAACTAACCGATTAGTCGTGGTATTATAGACAAGAATTTTACTATAATTTGCTCCAACCGTGACACTCATGGGATCAGGAAATATTAGCATGGCATAATTCTCATCCGAACTTAGAAACGGATACTCCCAAATTTGCTTCTGACTTACAATGGAGGTCTCCCAACGTATGCTCACAGATTTAGACGCAACTGGTGTCAATCGATCACAAATTTAATTTGTATGAAATTTGCAAATACAACTATCTGCCAATGCGCAGGCTTGGCGGAGATATTTACATAAAAAGTGGCAAAAACGCGCCCCAAAGGCGACCAGTTTTACACTTTACGAATTTTGCATTACAAATTTACGCGTTTTCTCGTCATTTTATGCAAATATCTCCGCGAAACCTGCGCATTGGCAGATAGTTGTATTTGCAAATTTCATACTAATTAAATTTGTGATCGATTGACACCAGTTTCGGCCAAATCTGTGAGCATACGTTGGGAGACCTCCATTGTTAGTTCCTCTTCTCCCAATACCTTAATTGTGAAATTGTGCTGGAGTCGGACAAAGTTTATGATTCGTCGCCCAATTCCGTTGCAGGTAAGCTCAGTTCCTACCTGACTACGAACCATTGGCTCACATTCTACATGACTCGAAGTCCACCAGCTCTTCGGAATCGAAACACTTGCACCGTGCAAATCAACGCAGTTAATTCTCCGGTATAACGTAGCCAAATCTTTGGCAACATTATTACCGCTAATAATTTGCACCGTGTCGAAACAGAAATAACAGAATATTCCAACCGTCTGATCGATACCAAGCACAAAAACAATTTGTACATCCGTCGCAAATATATCTTTAGGCCAATCACCTCCACTAGTAAAGCCTTCCTTCTGCCACAATTCGACCAGAAATAAAACCCCGTCGTCAATGGAATATCCAGAATATTGTATGGCTTCAAGAACCACGTGAGGTGACGAGGGTTCTATGATGAAGTAGGAGAAACATCGCATGAATTCCGTATCGAATTGAGGAATAGAGTTTCTTGTAGGGATCTTTGATAGAAGTGATTGGTTTGGTGTCGTTTATTTCTCGCGCCCACTTCGAACAATGGACTAAAGTGTGATCAATAAGGTGTGTGTTTAATTCCTCTAAAATTATTTCTTGTCGAAGAAACTTATTGGAAGTTTGTTAGTTCTTCAAAAAAAACTAACTTCAAAATGTATTGGCAGAGTTGTCCAAAATTGTTGCGTAATTCTATCAATTGTTAATTAAACTAACAAGAAATGACCCTAAGGTGCTTATCGAGTCGAGGATTCCCACCTATGTCAAAATGAGCACAATATAGGACTTATGCAGTCAACTGGCGGAATTTCCGTGTAAAAATCACTTTTCGTCAATTGGTGACGATATTTGTGGTGAGCGTATGACGATAATTGTGGGTGGAGAAGACTGGAGATAAGTGTGCGAGAATTGGGTCAACGGAAGCTCCTCCCTCCAATAGGTCTGGGGTAATTAAACGTCAGAGAATTGTAACCGTTGCGCTGCTTCATTAAATTCAGTTTTAAATGGTTTATTTAATGAAATAAGATTGAAATTGAAAAGAAAAATATTTTACAGCAAGAAACAAAGCGGCACCGAATTATTCGAGAGAACTAGGATAACAAATTTTCAAATGTTAAAAATCACCCACATAGTCGTTTCAAAGTTCGGTCCAAAACAGGGATTTTGAATTAATCTTCAATTTGAGAATAAGAAGTTGAAGAATTTTTAGATTCGTGACGCCACATCTTTTCAAAATCCTCTCGAAGGGTTGTGAAGCTGGGTCGGCAAGACTTATCCAAATCCCAGCAGGAGGTCAATTTGTTGTATCTGCAAAAAAATGTTCATCCACAATTAATTTTCAGCCTATTGAGAACAAAAGTGGGTTGAAATATCAATATTTTCCTTTACACTTCGACCGTAGCGTCTTTCGGTTGCTCAAGACGGAGTCCTGATTTCAACATGTCGACGAAGGCTTTAGACCAATTTTCGTTGGGATATGGGACATCGCCAAAACTAAATAACTCCCACAGCACAACCCCGTAACTCCAGACGTCCGATTCAGTCGAGAATTCAAATCCTGTCAAAGACTCGATTGCCATCCAACGCCATGGGAGTTGAGACTAAATGGCAAAATTAATTGTGTAAAATACTCTTTGTCTCGTTAACCATCTCACTCCGTAAAATGCTTACCTTTGTTTTCTTGGTGTAATTTAGTTTTCCATAGAGTTGTTTACTTAGCCCAAAGTCGGACACTTTAGCGATTAGATTTTTGTCCAGTAGGACGTTGCGAGTGGCCAAATCGGCATGAACAATCTAACACAATTAAATACACCTTTTGGCAGCTGTGTATCTTTCTAATATTCACTCACCGATTTATATGCCAGGTACTCCATTCCTTTCGCAATTTCATATGACCATCGAATCATGTCCAACTCAGAAACGATAGGCCATGCTTCATTTTCACACGGAACGACGATATTATCGCTTTGTGGGCCCCCCTTTCTTACGCTTCCTGGTTTATGATTTCTGAGATAGGAATGCAAACATCCATTCTCCGCAAACTCCATCAAAATATACACTTTTCCTACAAGTTAACAACAAAAATTGGGTTAACTAGCTCTCCAACTTTCTAACTGTTTAGAGCTAACGTTCTTTAATGCTGTCAGTACAAGCACCAATGAAGGCGATGACGTTTTGGTGTTTCCCGACGTAAATCATTATCTTAATTTCGGTCAGCAAGCCCTTAAACTCATCTATCTGTGTTGTAGCCTTAGGGAGTTTGACTGCCACATCGATTCCTTGCGAAAGGAGTTGTCCTCGCAGCACGATCGCATAATTACCAAATCCCACCATGTCATTGTGATCTAGGAGATGGAACTATTCTCAAAATTGGAGTACTGATGGTTAGAATGTATTAAATTACCAAATTGAATATCACTCCTATCGATTTCGAAGGATGTGTCATATGACCAAAATTTCCCGTGTTTTTCTCTCAGTTCTACACTGTTTCCTATAATGTCTGGCCTTCCCATAAAAAACTCGTTTATTTCATCTTCTTCAAGTTCTCTGTACCGCTTCGGAAAAAAAAGGAGAAGAATGGTGTGCTCTTTCGTTATATATTTTATTACGTACCAAATTCAGTCGATAGTGTCGAATAACTAGGACCGTGATTGCCATAAAGGCAAGAAAAACAAACCCAGCAACCCCAATGCTTGTCCAAAACATGGCGCCAAGTTTGACATCGTTCTCTTTGTCTGAACCAGGTTCATTTTAAATTCAGAAAAAAAATCATAATCCCAAAAAGAACGTCACCTTCGACATGCACAGTAAAATTGAAGTTGTCACTCCCATTCCAATTTGTTACGTGGCAGGTGTAGACACCACTCATATTTTTATTAACGTGGAGAAAGCTTAGCACGCTGTCTCCTTCTGAACTAATTTCTGTCGAAATTCCATCAGATCGGTCCGAAAAATCCATTTTCTATAAGTGAGGAAAATTATTCTAGATAATTATTTTCAACCTGATTGGTTCGTGTGTTCAGTAATGGTTTTGTGATTTTACTTTTTAGGCGTCATTCATAAATTATGTAACGCAAAAATCGGGATTTTTCAGACCCACCCCCCCATCCTGTAACGCAAACAAAATGGCCGCCTAATACATTGGCTTATGGGGGCGGCCATTTTGTCACGCGCATCCAATACCCACCCCATGCTCCGCGTTACATAATTTATAAATGACGCCTTATATATTAAGATGATTCAAGTGAAAAATTGAAATACCTCGTGTTCAAAATACCATTCATAATCTACCCGAGGTTCACCCCTTCCACTACAAATTAGTCCTTGACTTGCTCCATTGACGAATGTGTGACTGGGATTGGTAGGTTTGTTGATTTTGGCAGGAAATAAGTCTACAATATTGAAATGAAACAGGATTCACAAATTGTCTTCACAAAAGTACACTCAAAATAATTTGGTAAGAAATCATTACCGTACGGTATCACTATCATGCTCTACCGCGTTGGTAAAGATTTATCCCGGAATGGCAATAATAATTTCTGGGAAATTTAAATTCGTTACTCTCTGGCATTAATTTTCTTACCAGCTGGTAATTATATTGCCATTCGGGAATAAATCTTTCCCACCGCGGTAGAGCATCATAGTAACTCCGCATGGTAATGATTTCTTACCACATTATTTTGAGCGTACAACTTGTAAATAACTCACGTTTTGTTTCAAACCTCCTAGATACGATCATATATTCTGATGAGTTCCACCAAGGAGCATGACAATGCAACGCGACGACGTCGGCTGAGAGATTTTTCTCCACCATTGTGAAACCCAGGGTGCCCATTCCATTGATATCGGTTGTGTTGACAAAGTCGGTAGTGTTTTCTATGCATGATAATATAGCCAAACATTAAAAAAAATAGTATTCCATTTAATAATACCTGTAATCAAGACCAGTATTCTCCCAAGCAAATAAGCTGCATTTTTGCTTGATTGCTTTTAACTTAGTTTAAAGCTGCTTTTTTGCTGCATTGAAATAGATGCTTTATTGCGTTTTTGCTACTTATAACATAGTAGTTCTAATGTACGCCGCTAGGTGGCGCCAAGTAAAAGGCAAAAAAGCACGAGTAAAAAGCAAAAAACCAAGTAAAAAGCAATACAACAGTTAAAAGCATGTAAAAAGCAATTCAGCATTACAGCACTTTTTGCTTTTTATCGAACACTGATCAAGACAAACTCACGGATAAATTCTTGAGACCCGTTTCTGTATTCGATCGACAATTTGACCCCGTTCACAAACAGAAATTCTATAGCTCTACAAGTGATCTTGTAGGTTATGTTTGTGTACAATACCAACTCCGAGGGGTGTAGCTTGACCAAGTTCTCTGGCTCGACTTGTCGATAATCAAAATCTAGGAGGGTGGGACATATAAGAAACAGGTTACTTCTAACATGTAGTTTATTAACCTTTTCCCCCCTAAATACGAAATATGACGTATTTGAAATTAAGTTCCTTAGAGACCAAATATGTCATATGACGTATTTCAAGTTTTCCATTGGCAACTAACATCGAAGTTGACAATTGGTCAAAAATGAAAAATCCATTATGAAAAGTGGAAAACGCCATGGTGAAAAGTTGGATTTTTTCAGCCGAATATTTGAATATTTTCTATATCAACTCCATGTTAAAATATGGAATTTTAATTTTTTCGAACTTTTATCAGTTTTGAAAATTTACAAAACTCAAATTCTGTTGTTAGTGGCAACAAAGGCTTCGAAGTTTGAAGTTAAAAAAGGTTAACTGTAATTTCTACGCATTTCTATAATTATATTTGACCCAAATTCAAAACCCACATCGCCGTTTATCAAAGCCTGTAAAGTACTCGATAACAACACGTCCACCAGCCCGGCCTGCTTGCATGTATCCATATCCAGGCAACACGTTAAGTCTAATACACTCTCGAAATCCCTGCCATTCCCTCTTATTAAGGCATTCTGTCAACGTGGTGCCGATGAAGTAGTCATCCACGCACCAGGACGGATCGTCGAAGCAACGTCGAATAAATGCGCAATGCATGGGATTGTTGCATTCTGTAATTTTCAAACTTGCGGCATCATCCCATAGACAAGTTACACGTGTCGAATCCTGACCATAGCAAAGCACCGTGCGACGGATTGAACTTTTTGTGGCCACGCGCATTTTCAACTTTCCCGTAAGGATATCATGTGTTCTCTATATCTCTGTTATTCCCCATAATATCCATTCCTGGTAAGTACTAAAAAAAAGTTCAAAAAATTAGAATTATTTTGATAAAAAAAAATTCTGCTATAAGTTTATACTTTTGGCATGAGCGGGGTTCAAAGTTGGGATTTACAAGGGTAGTGTCACAAGTGATAATCGCGGATTTCACATACAATACATCAAAATGAACACAATATTTGTTATAATGAACTACAATTAGCTGAAATATGATTACTAGTCATAATACATGATATTATAGCACGATAGGGCAATGTTCCCCCGATTTTGGTAAAAAAAATAAATACAGGAAATATATAAAAAAAACATTACCTTAAATGTAACGTACGCCTTGTTGTAATTATTTTGAAGTTGTTCACATGTGCAAATGCCAACTCGATTCAAAGATCTGAAAATAGAAAATTTAAGCCAGGTAGGGCCCCTTGTCGGTTAAAACCGCAATACTACCTGGGATTAGAGTATTAAGGTACATGGCTTGGGGCCGCTGAGTAGAACTACATGGGCATAATAACAAACATAATTTATAATCACTCAATTTAACTTTATACCTTATAACATGATCAAAAATGACTAGATTCATAAAACTAAAAACATTTGTTGTCGTTGGTTTTTATCGTTGGGCTAATACTTAGTATAGTTAGAATAAAATAATGGGGAAAAAAATACTTACCTCGTTTTCAAGTTCAATTTCATTTTCGTAGTCCAAACTGTTTTCATCGGGTTCGACTTGTTGATCATCGTCACCAAATTCTTGTGTAGTTGGTACAGATGGGCATTCTAGCATATGTAGGACTTCTTGAGGTAGAGCCAACTGTTTTCGATAACGGGCTCTTTTGTCCAGATGAAGAGATGATAATAGGGGATCTGAGGTATCCATGGCTCGATTGAATATGTCTGTCATAGTGGCTGTTCGACTAATTTTTCGAGAATGACGCAGTCTATCCGACTTGTACATCTTGTTTCGAGACTCACCTCCTTCTTCTCCAAGGCATCCAAGGGGGATAATACCAGAATTTATGATGTCCTTTCCGTGGATCAGGATCTTGTGCATTGATGCAGGCATCGGGAACCATTGATACAAAGTTAGGTAATATTGTACTACGTTGAAGCAATACTCTCCAAATTTGTCAGCGTTGAGGGGGAGTTGACAAGTTAAGGCCACCAAGATGACCCAGAGCCTTCGAACAAACTCCACATCTAATCCAGTCAACTTTGCGAACTCTTCGTAATTTCGGAATGCTCGACGAGCGGTGTTGCCATCATTGGATGTTCCACTGCCAGTATTATTTGGAAAATCCACCCGCAGTCCCATTTCTTTCAGCAGTAACTGTTGGATCTCTTCCTTCCTCTTCTTTACACTTGCCTGAAGCACAGGTCCACGTGCCTGCCATTTCTGGATATCCAAGCGGTATGCAATGTGTAAACAAAGTTCCAAAAGTCGAATCCAAGCGTGGAGAGGGCTGATACCATGGTTAAGACGCCCGGGCTTCGGGGTAAACAACCCTTTTCCAATATTTTCGATGGAATTAAATGTTGAAGGTTTTGCTTCACAAATCGGGCAACACATTGAAGATTTGACCCCACAAATTGCTGATAATACTTTTCCGTCAATTACAGTAAATCTCAAGTCGAAGTTGATGGTGATGGTTTTCCCCAGGTCCACAAATACTTCAATTGGGTCGAGAACTGCAATCTGATCTTCAACATATTTTTGCTCGTTCAATATTTTTTCCTGGGACTCCTTGATGTATTGCAGGTGTAGGGGTCTGCAAAATCGAATGGATTGAGGCGAAGAATTGTTCCAAATTATAGTTCCATTAGCGGCAGTCAATCTGATTGGAGTCAAAGTTGTTGCAAATATTGAGGAGTCGTCAAAAGATGTTGAAGACTTCTGCTTGTATCTAGATTGTCCAGATGATCCATCAAATCCCCATGAGCAAATTAGTGTTGCTTTGATCTCACATATATGTTGAGAGGCAAATATTTGAAGCAAGACCGAATTCTGCATATTGACAATACGAGATGCAGTATGCTGTAACAGGGAATTCAATGGAATTGATGCTGAGGACTCTGTCACGCACAATTCATCCGCTGGTGGTCTTGAGGAAATCTTGCACTTTTGAACTTCATGGTAGGATGGATATAAAGGACATCCATGCTGGTTAGCTCCTTCTCGAAGCCTCTGGTACTGTGTTTGTGTCAATCCCAAATCCAAAATTAGGGACAATGCTTCTTCAGCAGTATAAGGGGTTGGAGTTGTTGAAGGTTTGCTGAGGGAATCCAGTATTACTTGCTGTTTCGATGGTGACAGGGATTTTTTGATAATTCTGGCTGCCTCAGGATGTCCGTGCTTATTTAACGTCCTAGAAACTGCATGGACAAGGTCGCCAGGATCCTCAGGGGACAAGGATTTCTCAAGTTCTTCAACCCTTCGTCGCTTGGTCCTTTCTGAAGGGAAGAAGTTTTTAGGCAAGACAAAATAACCGTCCAAGTATTGTTTTTCCTTGTCCAAGAAAAAACTCATTCTTCTTGCGCACTTCTGATATTTGGCGACTGTTTTGAAGGCCCAAGCTCTTGCTAATCTGTCCAAGTGATCCTGTTGCAGATCGTTCAAACTTGCAGGTAAAGATTCTGATACAGTTGTCTTGATAAAATTAACTCGTTCAGACGGTGTTTTTAAATTTACTATCTGAAACCCATATGATTTTAATTATTTAAGTAAAAAAAAACAGTAAATTTTTTTTATTAATTTTGAGAATAAAATAACCCTTATATTACCTTTTCGGCCAAAAACTTCTTTTCTATAATTGTTGGTACTCCTTCCGTGTCGTCATCTTCCATGTCGTGTGTCCTTGTTTCTGGAGACTTATCACTTGAGGCCAGCGACACCATCAAGTCAGGTCGGTCTGAAGAAGGCTGTTCCGAGTCGTCATTCGTAGATCCACCGGCATTATCTTTAATTGTGCTCATTTTTTAACGAATAGCCCGATTTAGGTCCGTCAGGTTGCTGTGTGGAGTCCGTATGGGAAAGATCATCATACACTCCGGGTTCAGCTTCCTGACTTCCCACCGATGGGCCCCCCACGGTGTTTGGTGTTTCCGAAATTGGTGTCCAATCCATGTCAATGTCCGTGTCGCTACCGTAATCAATTGTAATCTGAAACAAGAATATTATTTTAACTCATTTACCAATAACACCGAACATCCCAACGATAATTGCCAAACATTCATCCTAGATCATTTAACCAAGTAATTTTCATCATGTCCACGAAGGAAGCTTCTCTTCATATTTCGATTCCTCGGTTCTGCGAAATAAATAAATATTTTAGTTAAATTAATCATATATGACACAAATATAATTTATTTTTCCAATATTTATTTTTTTACCAAAATCGGGCGAACATTGCATTATCGTGCTATAATATCATGTATTATGACTAGTAATCACATTTCAGTTAATTTCAGTTCATTATAACAAATATTGTGTTCATTTTGATGTGTTGTATGTGAAATCCGCGATTATCACTTGTGACACTACCCTTGTAAATCCCAACTTTGAACCCCGCTCATGCCAAAAGTATAAACTTATAGCAGAATTTTTTTTTATCAAAATAATTCTAATTTTTTGAACTTTTTTTAGTACTTACCAGGAATGGATATTATGGGGAATAACAGAGATATAGAGAACACATGATATCCTTACGGGAAAGTTGAAAATGCGCGTGGCCACAAAAAGTTCAATCCGTCGCACGGTGCAAAGCGGAGGAAAGTCTGTGAAAACATGAGTTCATATTGCTAAACCAGTTGACAATTGTTTCATGGAATTGTTTTTCTTTCAAGTCACCGATAATGTCGTAAAACCAGGAAACGATTTCTGTAACATTATTCCTCGTTTGATCCGGATTTACACAAGATATTTTTCTCGTTTTCCTGCTTCCATTCCCTTCCCGGATGTTTGACCATGCTGCCTCCTCCGTTCTCTTGCCCACCCTGGTGGGTTGGGTTCGTGCAACGGAGAAGTGTTTCTCAACCTCGCTGTCCAAGGTGAAGTTAAAGACCAGATGGGGGTCATTATTTAAGATTTCGATTGAGTTGGGTGACTTGCAGGTGAAATGGAGTGGCTCATTCACATAGCCAAGAACTAATGAGGCTGATCCGGGGGAATAAGACGTTAAGTTTTCGTACTTTGTCACTTTAGAAATTACCGAGACCGTTTCATCGCCTGTGGTGCAAGTAAAATTTCCTTGGATTGGCTCCGATAATTGGAAGCCTCTGGTCGGATCATAGGTTGTATAATTTACACGTTGCAGCTATAAACAAAATTATTACATAAACAAATTATAAACAATATAAACAATATAAACAAATTTACTTTTAACCTCTTGGGTACTAAATAAAATCAATTATAAGGCTGTTAGTGATTTATTTTAGAATTGCAAAACTCAAAATTGACAAAAGGTCCAAAAACTCGAAAATTCCACTTTTGTGCATGGCCTTGATATAGAAAAAGTTCAATATTTACGCTGAAAAAGTCCGCTTTTTTACCATGAATTTTTCCACATTTGGCACTGGAGTTGATCCATTTTTCAATTTTTGCCATATATTTTGGTTGTCAACGGTAAATTTTAAATTGCACATACAGTAGCCACTTTTCTTGTTTATCCTTTTTGCAAATGTATGTGCGGATGCCCATATTTTTTTAAGAAATGAACCAATTCTTATGAAAATGCACACAAATATACATTACATATTGGGGATGAAGACTTGTGTAATTTGAAGGTCATAATATTGCATGTTGAGTGGGGGTAAAATAATACATACCACAGAGTTGGAAAACACCGCACACTTGTTGTTTATCCTTTTTGCATTTTGGAAAGTAATTCTTGACGGAATGACAAAGTACTATTAAAAACACTTCAAAATGGACCGACGGGGAAGGTAAAATTTGATTACTACGTATAATTAATTATTTCATCTCACACTATGTAATATAATATGCAGGAAGGCCGGCAAAGAGGTTGCGTTCGAAGTCCGCAAGAAAATAATTGACTTCTACGAGAAGGGAGTCAAACAAGTTCAAATTGCTGAGAAAACAAAAGTTGCATTGTCAACAACTAAGAAAATAATCCAAAAGTGGAAGAAAACCGGAGAAATTGCAAATCTGGCTGGACGAAGAAAACCTCGGTGCACCACTGGTCGCCAAGATCGACTTATGGCCAAGCTCGTTGAGATCAACCCAAGACTTTCTGTGTCAAAACTGAATGCAGAACTGACCAAGAACTACCAATTGACAGTTTCAAACACAACAATTACAAAACGACTGAAGGAATCTGGTCTTCATGGCCGAAGACCATGCAAGAAGCCGTGGCTGTCAAAGAGGAACATCAAAAGACGATTTCAATGGGCGAAAGATCATGCTGGATGGACCGTGGAACAATGGAAGTCGGTTTTATGGAGTGACGAAAGCAAATTCAACATTTTTGGTACTGATGGCATTTCTTACATACGCCGTAAGACAGGTGAACGATTGAAGAGGAAGAACTTGCTTCCGACGGTGAAGCACGGCGGTGGTAACATTATGGTTTGGGGGTGCATGAGTTGGAAGGGACTTGGAAATTTGCATGTCATCGATGGAATTATGACAAAGGAGGTCTATCTAGACATTTTGGAAAGAAATTTGTTGCCATCCAAAAAAAAACTTCGCCTTCAGAGCAACTTTATCTTCCAACAGGATGGTGACCCCAAAAACACCGCCAAGGTTGTCAGTGAGTGGTTCACTAAAAAACGTATAAATAAAATGGACTGGCCTGCCCAGTCACCAGACATGAACCCAATAGAACATTTGTCGACTATCATGAAGAGGAAAGTACGTTGCAGGTCTCCTAAGAACAAATCAGAATTGGAGAAAGCTCTTCGAGAGGAGTGGGAGTCTTTTGACCCAGAAATTTCAAGAAAGTTGGTGGAGTCAATGCCAAAGCGTGTGGCTGAAGTAATTAAGGCCAGAGGAGGTCATACACACTATTAGTAATATTTTTTGTACACAAATCTCGTAATTGTAATTAAAAATCTAGAAAGGATAAACAACAAGTGTGCGGTGTTTTCCAACTCTGTGGTATGTATTATTTTACCCCCACTCAACATGCAATATTATGACCTTTAAATTACACAAGTCTTCATCCCCAATATGTAATGTATATTTGTGTGCATTTTCATAAGAATTGGTTCATTTCTTAAGAAAATATGGGCATCGCACATACATTTGCAAAAAGGATAAACAACAAAAGTGGCTACTGTATCTCTGTAATTGGTACGCAACGGAATATAAATCGTTACGCAAATGTGTAATTGGTACCCATGAGGTTAAGCTCCAGTTATGATTATCAACCAATTTTTTTGATGTCTATTTACCGTCTTATTTGCTGCAATTTGTCGTAGGCGTATGACCACATCCGGGTTTGTTGTTGGACAAGGAATGAGCGTGCTATCCACCACTATCAGCGTTTCTTTGCAGTTTGGCATCACACATTTATCTTGGCCATAATTTCAATTATTTTTATTTCCAAATAAACTTTATTAGAATTACCAAATATTTGATAAAACCTTTAATAAAAATTCTCATAGAACTTTTCAGTCGGGGAGATCCTTGACATACGAGGGCAGCAGCGAGGCCAAGAAATTGAGATGTATAATCAAATCTTACAAAGGCACTAAATCTCGTTACGGTGGAATTTTCTGATTCGCGTCGATTAATTTTCCAATACTGATATTTTGGCGACTTGCCCTAATTAATAAATTTTCAGGAATCGAATGACAAAAAATATTTTAATTTTGGTGCCTTCCCGACCAGCACAAGCACGGCACCAAAAAGGTACCGATTTGCCCAGTCTAATAATATCGAAATGGTACTACCATTTTTAGGTGTTCGGGACCATTACCGTTTCTTCGTAGAAAATATCGGTATCTGTACTCTATACGAACATCAATACCGAATTGGTGTGGGTTAGTAGCGGAAAACAGGGAACGAAAAATCAGCACCGAAATAGTACTTGGTGGACACCGAAGACGAAAAACCGGTAGAATTTCGGTACCGCTGAAATGGGGAAATCCGTACCTTTTTGGCGTCGATATTTAATGCCAAATAGGTATCGATGGTGTTGGTCGGGTTGTAGTATAAAAAATGCTTGTACGTACAATGAATCCTTCAACATTGATCTGAATCGGATAAGGTGCCTCACATTCCAAACCGAACTGACGACTCGTATTTGAAACAAAATCAGGAATGCTATCACTCGGTTCCCAGAGCTGCCACGTAGTGCCAGCAACGGAATGATTGAACCGTAGCGTAGGTGGATTAGAATCAAGACTCCAAGTCGCAGACACGAATTTGAAGAATATTATGATTATTTTCTTCATGTTGTAACTTGCATGTGTTTTATTGGTTTGAGAGCGATGTTCTGTTTGGAATGAAGGAGACGGAAGAGTAAAAAATTATTTTACATTGGGCACACAGAAAATATTAGTGGATTGAAGTTCAGACTCTCAACTTGAAACTGTCCGAAGGTTGCGGTGAGGATAAATCGTCGGGTTGACATAAAGCCACAATGTCTTGCTTTAATTGTACATAGGTCTGTCAATTAACTGGAATTTACACGGAAATATGAGTGGACACGAAGAAATAGTTTATTCGTCAATATTTCGAATACAATCTGCATTCATTATCAAGACAAAGAAAAATTTTTACAAAGGTCTGTCAATTTTGAACAATTTATCGCCATTATTTTGTCAATATTTACATTATTTTCAGTTGAATTAAAAAAAGTCAGGTAAAAATTTGAAAAACAAAATTTAGTATATTTTATCATTAAGAAAGATGTTAATGTTTTGATAATGGATAAATGGATATGAAATATAAATGAAAAAAATGGATAAAATTCGAAATAGGAATAAATCCCCAATTTGATAACACTTTCATTAGAATTGATGCAAAATTGAAATTGCTACAATCAGTTGAATGTACCAACGTACATCGAATGCTCAATTGTGGCGTGCACTGTCATTTTCGTCTGCACGGCATGGTTTTAATTTTTACACCGGCAGGGAGATAACATAATTAACCAATCGGTGTCAACATTAAAGAAAAAGAACCGATGAAAAATTTAACACCTTGGCGGGGAGATGCACACCGGACTATTTGCATTGTATGAATATTTACTAATTAATCCTAAGTAATAAAAATAATATCTAATAAGCCTACAAAAAATATGGCTTAAAACTAAGATTCGGCTTATCCTTAAAACTACAATTTCAAAATATGTAGATATGCGAACGTGCTAAGTCGTTATGAATAACTCGATAATATGTGTTCCACCAAATAGTTTATTGTTGCTCCATTAAATATTACACGATTTTGTCAAACACTACTGAATATTTCTTAATAAGTTGATTGATCCATGCACATAATTGGTAAAATATGAAATAATATTTTAAAACTTATCATTACCCGTGTCAATTTCCCATCAATTTGTAAGGGTGAAAAGAGCAGTCTTAAATTCCCCGTATGGGCAGTCTCTCAACTGCTCGTGTTATTTATGCCCTGTGTGAATTGGGCAGGCTCACCTCATTACAAGTTCTAATTTCTTAGTCCCTGATTTACGTTGTGATACTCATATTGTGATACTCTCCAGTCTGGATTCCTATCTTTGGTTTAATCTCGTCAACCCATGATCTCAAAATTCGGGTATTCAAGACAGGAGTAACCCATTTTGTGGACGGAAAGCGTGTCATAAAAGCGTTATTCATGGGCCGATGTGGGACAGGTTGTGCGCAGATGCTTTTGAACCCAACATTTTTACAATTAATTTGGTAATATAATTATGTAGAGTCGTTTTTGGAATTTGTCTTTGGAATTCTACCAGCACAAATTAGCATCAAAGCCAGAAGAAGTTTTCTGGGTTGGGCGAGCTCATTTCGCGAGTTATTCAATTTGAAATATTGTACCTTTCCAACTACTGATGACAAATTTCCTATTCATATCAAGTACCTACTGAAATTATCTAGCAGAAAAGTAATCCTACTGACGTCCAATTGTGTTGCTCGAGTCACAGTCTATGCACCAAATAGTATTCATTTAGCCCCTCTACGCTTGGTAACTTTAAGTGTTAAGAAACATTATCTAAATACACAGCAAGATATAGTATCTCTAAAAAAAGTGCCCACCCTGGAAAAAATCCGTGGCTGCGCCTATGTTCAGTCCCGCAAACACATCCATCCAACATTTATACGAATAAATGCACATATACCTAAATTCAAATATTTTCATGGTCTCACAAACCCCTGCCATTTCTGGGAAGAAGGATTCGAAACAGGGTTGCCAACGACCACCCTCCCACGGATGGAACCATAACTCCTGCAGTTTGGGAAATGTGGTCGCGTAATTAAGAATTGGTGTATAGAAAGTGACATCAAAGTCGTAATATTTGAAACCAAACGTTCCACTCCGTAATACGAATCGTTTCAGGTTGGGAAAATTAGGCAACTTCAAGACACCATTTCCCCTCAATTTTCTCAATCTTAAGTCGAGATGTTGCAAAGTGTGGGGATGTATGGAGAGGATTTCGTACAGGGAGGTGGCAACCTCGGGGTCAGTATATTGCTCGAATGAGGAGGCGTTGACGGTGTTGTTGATGTATAAGTGGGTCAAGGGTTGGGTCAAATTTAACAGGGACTTGCACTCTGAGGCCGACATGCTTGTCAAGATACGCAATCTGGACAAGCACCTGTATAATTGGAAAGATTACGTCACCAAAAAGTCAGTGCATTACAGAGCGGCCATTACATACTTAGTTACTCCTGGTAAATATAATTTCGTCATTTTATTGATATGCTACAAAATACCGAGATTGCGCCCCTATTTTGGATTTACAATATTTTTATGTTGTCGCATTTTACCGGTTTCCAAGAGAAGTAAGGGGCGTAAACTTGTGGTTTTCCAAAATGTCAATAAAATGATGAAATTATTTTTACCCGGTAAAGCGAAGTCGTGGCCACTCTGAACAAAATCAATGTGTCACTCACGTTGATCATGAACTCTTATCAGTCAGTACAATTGGAAGGACGTCACCTGGCACGCAAAGTTCTACAATGTTGGGAAATACTGCCACTATTGCTGCCATCTTCTCGCCTTGTAGTGCCCAGTACTTGGAATTAAATGATAGCGTTAATTTCTTCACGTTGTTGAATTTCTTCCCTTCGCAAAATTCTTCTTTTTCTTGAACTGGAGGGCCACAAATATGAAGACAGAGGTCGAGTTCGACCAAATTTCGGTATGAATGGAGGAGGATGGTTTGTACAAATTGGAACAAGTTGGCAAAAATTAAATAAATTAATGTTACGATGCGAATTTACAAAGTAGACGTGAATACCCTCATTGAATGGCGCAAAAGTTAGAACACGCCAGGACAGACAGACGGGCATTTTACATAAATATCTACTCTAATTTCCATTTTAAATTATGATCCTACATTTTCATATTGTCCTCGTCTCCGCGGAGGGTGAGATTTGCAAGATCTTCTTCGTCTGAGGGTGAGATCAAGGTAACTTGACCCTCCTCCTGGATACCAAATTTTCAAAACTGATTTTCAAATTCGAAAAATATTAAAATTCATATTTTTACGTGGAGTTGATATAGAAAATATTCAGAAATTCGGCTAAAAAAATCCGACTTTTCACTATCGAGTTCTCCACTTTTCATAATCAAGTTTCCATTTTTTACCAATTTTCTACTCTCATGTTACTCGCCAATGGAAAATTTCTCTATATCATATCAAGTATTTGGTCTCTGACGGACTTGGTTTCAAATACACGATATCTCGAATTTGGTCAAAAAGAGGTTAAGTACTGACAACATGAAACTGATTGAGGAGGACGTCTTTATACACCACCCTCTGCATTTGGCTTAGGGAGACATAAATCTTCATCTCCGTCTTGGGTGGGATGCCCTGCTCGACATCCGCCTTCAACCTCCGTAGTAGGAAGGGACGGAGAATAGTGTGTAGCCGCTGAACCAGCCCCTCATCCCCAATCTCATCCTCGGCAAACCACGAGGTAAAGTCATCCGCAGAGGAGAAGGCTTCCGGGAGGAGAAAGTTGAGCAGGGCCCAAAGCTCGTGAATATTATTTTGAAGCGGTGTGCCCGTCAGGAGGAGGCGGTGACGGGACTTGAGGGTCCGAACGATTCTCGACAACAGCGACTTCTCGTTCTTAATCCGGTGCGCTTTGTCAATTATGAGGTAACCCCAACGGATCTGGATAAAACGATAATTGTAACCATAGTGGTAAAAAACCCGACACGACTCCCCACCTTTTTTAGCAGAATCTTCTCCAGCAAGACCATTTCATACGTGGTGACGAGCACATCCCAACTCTTTAGTTTGTTAAGATGTCCCTTGAACAGCTTCTTCCTCGCCTCCTTGTCCCCAATATCATGGCGAGGGGCCTGAGACTCGGGCACCACCAGCCCAACTCCACCATCCAGTTGTTTAACGTGCTTTTGGGAACGATGACGAGGGCGTGGAAGTGGCGGCCGCGGACGTTTTTCAAGTAACCGAGAAGGGAAATCGAGGTCAACGTCTTCCCGAGGCCCATCATCCGCCAGAATACCGTTTATCCCAGTCTCATAAGTTGACGAGCCAGTTCAACCCTTTCACTTGGTAGTCACGCATCTCACCCCCCGTTATGAAGTAGGGAGAGGAGTCGAACCGCACCCCAGCACCGCCACCATTGCCCCCAGATTCTTCCAAGTAAGGGTCCACTTCATATTCTACTATTTTACGACCGCGTTGGCTAGCAATTCAATTATCATTATTAAAAATCATGTTAAAATCCCTTGATAAAAAATACTTGCCTTCCTCCCGGAGTTGTGGTGGCGGAATTGGCGCTGGTTGATTTACCCACGCCGGTGAATTTCGTGGTGTAGAATTCCGAGCGTTTGAGAATGAATTCGAGTCGCCGCTTTCTTGCTTCCTCCTGGTAGTTGAGAGAGATATATGAAATAAGAAACAAATTAATGAATATTCAAAAAACATGTCCCATTTTTTGAGATGGTTTAAAATAAATTACATCCACTTCTCCGTCTTCTTTTTTTGTTCTTTGACTCCTTTTGTCCTTGGCTCTCGTCTTCGTCTCCATCCTCGTCTTCGGATGGGGGAAGAGACAGTTCGGAGGGACAATCGTCCTCCTCCCCCTCCTCACTCATACTCTTGTGCTCCTAAATGAAAAAATAAGGAAATTCATCTATAAGAACAATAGCACTAAAAAACATTAGTGCAAGAATATTATATAAAGTAATCCAGATTCCAAACCTCCTCCTCGTCCGGGTCGTCATTATCCTTCTTAAATCGTGTTTTCCTCCTCTTCCTCTTCCTCGAGGGGGCTTGCGATTTGAGGAAGTCATCCTCACGGTCGTCGTCAAAGTCATCCTGATATTAAATTAT